AGGCATGTATAAGAGACACTCCAATAAAAGAGTATGTTTGCATTAAACTGCTGTACTGAAGTGCTACTTGCAGGCCTGAAAACTAGGCCTCAGTAATCTCTAAGCATTTACCATAGCTTGAGCAACATGTTCAATAAACATGTGCCATCTGTCCACAAGAACAGACTTCTGTGAGAACCCTAATTTTCAACGATGTTTTAATTAGGTCCCCAATTCAGTCACATCTCTTTTTCAACATGTTTCTTTTCCTGCAAATGCATCCAAATCCTTTAGCTGCCAAATTTAAATAGCAGCTTCCAAGGTTGTTCTTTGGAACTCCAAATGAAACCTGTGGCCACCAGCCCTCGGGCCTGTAGCAACCCCATAATAAAGCTCCAACAGTCCAGTAGGTTTTGGAAATCCAGAAGTGGTGGAAGGGCCTATGAGAAATGGCAGGCCTTTGTAGATAGGACAGATGCTGTGCTTTTCAAATGACATTCTACTGAGTCTAAAATACTCCTAAATACTCAGAGTGCACCCCAAACTCTGGGTGGTGCTTTTGCTAGATTCTTTAGCCTCCTGTAGCCAGGTCCTATGATTGAATCTGGCTAGCACACAGAAATCCAGGATAGGACTTTTAGGGTCATTCCTTAGATAGAACTTTCAGGGTCATTCCTTTAAAAATGTGGATGGACAGTTGATATATGTCCTTTTGCTTTTGTCCTCTTCCTCCTTTCTGTGTCAGAGTACAAGTGGTTGCTATTGTCTCAGCAAATAGCTACTTGATAATATTAAGGAATTCTTTCAATGTTCCAATATGATAACGTGACTACAATTATATTTTTATCATCGTACCTTCCTGTGCCATCCCCCTTCATGTCTTTTCATTAATTTGTTAGCTGGCATACAAAGTGATGATTTTCATTGTGTTATTTTCATATATCATTATACCGTGTATCTATTCATGTCCGCATTCTCCCTCTTGCTGATACCCTCCTACCCCTGAGATAGTTCACCACTTCAGCTTTTGTGTCACATAGATGCCATTGTCCTCTCTTATTCTTGTGTTTCAGAGATGGAAATTGAAACAATTGTGAACAAAATGACATCTGGGTTTCTGTTCAAAATACTTTGAGGGGAGAAATGGAACAGGACATTCATTATGCGATGTCCTCTAGTTTTGTTTCAAATTATGCCTTTAAGTAATTAAATAACCCACAGAGAATGTCATTCTATTGAATAGTATCTGGTGGAATTGGGCAAAATGAAGACAAGTGCCAATGATGATGGGTTTCTCTCCTGGGAGCACAAAGGAACCACCTGCTAACAACATGCTAGTCAGTCTTTCAAAGTCCAGGACTGTCTAGCCTGGTCCATGGATAATTATAGTGATGATGTGAGCCAGCCCCAGCCCATCTTTTCTTTATTGCTAACTATAGGAAGGCTCACTGTCAGTTTCTCTTCAGTTTCTACATGTGTAGTGGTAGGAAGAAAAAGAAACACTTGTGGCGGCTACTAAAATGGAGCAGTTTTGCAGCTTTAATGTGAAAATAGCTTTGAAGTCCAAAGTTTCCAATTTCTTTAAGACATTAGCCTTTGTGCATAGACTTCGAAGAGTAACCTTAATGTTGACAAATGCCTTCATTTCTGCTAGTTGGGGTGGGGGTAAGGGCTCTTCCTTTATGTAGAATGTGGAAATATGTTAGCAACATCAAAAGTCAAAACCAGGGTCTTGAACAAGAGAATGATAGTAGGGTTTATGCAGTAAAAGGAGGCATATTTTTAAATGATGTTTATGAAGAAGTTATAGTAACACGGAACGCTCTTGTGTCACCATGTTAAGTGAAAAACTTCAAGACACAAAACTGTCTTTTATATAATCCTCAATAATGTAAAACATAACTGTTTGGAAACACTTTCATTCTCAATTGTGATTAAGCAAAGCTGAATTATTCTTCTCTCTTCCATTAGGGTTACAGAATACCTGTGACACAAGAGACCTGAATTTAAATAGCATATTAGAGTCTTGGAAAATCTAGGTTTTTCAATGAAGGTTTCTTATATGGCATAAAGCATAAAATTCAAGGATGTAAAATTATATTGAGGGGAATTACATCTTTATTTTCACTACCCTCAGATTTTTCTGAATATTTTTATTTATAGTAAAATGGACATAAAATGAAATTTAGCATTTAAAAAATTTTATTATTACTATTATTATTATCTGCAGATTGCTGTTTCTGTGTGAGGGTATGTGCATATGAATGCAGGTGCCCTCAGAGGTTGTAAGCAAAAGGCCACCCTTGAGCTGGATTACAGATAGTTATAAATCACCAGACAAGGGTGCTAGGAATCACACTAGGGTCCCCCACATACGCACTATACACTCTTAATCACTAAGCCATCTCCCTAAGTCAAAAATTTAGCATTTAAGTATCTTTAAGAACACAGTTTAGTAACCTTAAGCATATTCACATTGCTGTACAACTATCATTGTCTTGTGACCAGATTAAAATCCAGTCTCTTCTTCAATTGTGAGTAAGCTCAGTAAATTATAATAAATTACCAGTAACTGTGATTCTGAGACCAATCGAAACTAAAGCTATTTCATAACATATTACATCTGTGATTAGGTATTTGAAAAAAATTGTTCACATTTGAAATTAGGATGTGACTAGATGCACCACTCAAAACTTTTATTTAATATAAAAATACAAGATGACTAAATCATCTCTAAAAAGCTCAACCATGTTATAATATCAAACAACTTTTTTTGGAAATTATCTATTCTGTTTTGTGCACTTCAAAAGACTATTTTACAAAGGAATTGATAGGTTTTGACAGACCACTAAAGAGGTTCACAGGATTTTTAAAAAGTGCTAAGACATTGTCTCCAGATAACATTCTTGACAGATGGACTAATCAAAGTAATAGCTACACTCAGTACATAGTAATGGCTTACTAACAGGCGTCTGTAGGTCTCAGAACTCTTTCCAGTTTTCCCGTGATGATAATAGCTAATCGAATGACACCACCTCCATCTGGCCCTATGCATTTAGCCACCAAGATAAACTTATTTGTGTATTTTCTTTGGCAAATGGTACATTTTGGCTTTCAAGAGATATATATGAGTGAGTTAATGTTGGGAAGAAAAATGGCAGAGGCACAAGATAGAAGAAAGACTGATGGGGTGACAAGGGAGAAGTGCTTTCCACCCACTGTAATAACTGATCAGCATTGTGCTGGGTGGAATGAGCCAGGCACAGAACAACAAACAAGGCACACCCTTACTTGTACGTGGAATCTAAAATGGTGGCTTACAGAAGCTGAGGTGAGAAAGTAGAGCGATGTTCCTCAGATAGGAAGAATAAGTTCAAGAAGCCAATAGCACTGTAAAATGACAGTGTATTTTACAGTTAAAATTTGCTTAAGAGTAGATTTTAAAATTATTGTGTGAAGTAATACAGATGTTGATGAGCTAGTTTTTGAACTTTCCTTTGGCATGTACAAATATAAAAATATCCTGCTGTACACCATTTTTAAAACTGAAAATATCAAACCCATCAACAATGTAGGGCACCACTCACTGAAGAAAGGCAAAACCTTCAAACCCTATAAGCAAAGGTGAGCCTGGCAATTCAAGAGGCTGAGCAGGTGGATTTAAGTTCAAGGTCAGCCTAGGAAACTTAGTGAGACTCTTGTCTCAAAATAAAATATAAAAGGAGAACTGTGGATACAGTTCAATGATAGATTGTTTGCCTAGCATATGCAAGGGTCAACCCTATGTTCAGTCCCCAATACTGAAACAAAAACTGATGAAAAAACAACTCCATGAACGTTTTTTCAGACACATTTTTTATCAAAAAATGACAAAAGAGCCCATATGCAATGAGAGGTATAAAGCTTAGCAACAAGGCAGTATGAAAATCCTACAGTGGAGTGTAAGAAATCAGTCCTACTTCCCCAAACCCAATCTACCGCTACAATGCATTTCTTCTCTTATTCACATGTATAATGTGGGATAGCTCTGGGGCCTATAGCCCTTGGTTATGATCACTGCTTGATACTTCTCTGTGCAGCTAAGGCACCTCCCTAAATTTCACATATTCCCTAGTATTCAAATTTTAAGAAAGTCTCCAATGTTAAAAAGCATCTAGAGTCACAATCTCTGAGTTCCCTTGTGCTCCTTACCCCACATCAGAGGTCTACAGAGCTGGATCTCAATGCACAAATATAAATCCTTTATTATGTGCCATTAGCCAGAAGACGGGACCCATGCAGAGCCAATCAAACTGTCTTCCCCAGGAGGAATCTGAAAGTGAGATCCACATTTACTTGTGCTTTGAAGTATGAGCACATAAGCAATGGTGGAGAGGCTACAGGTTGGGCACAGTTGAGGATAAGGGTGCTGAGGCTTACAGCTCAAGGCAGAACATGGGCATGCAGAGAAAACCAAATGCATCTCCTATAGTGAAGCTGCATCTGCTACCTAGAAACTCACTATCCACATTCCAGAAACCTCCTTTAGGCTGGGTTTGTTCCACATGGGGTCCCAGTTGTGGAGTTTCATTTTTTCCCTCTGGCACTGTGGTGGCTTGAAAGAAAATGATCCCCAAAGGGATTGGCACTACTAGGAGGTGTGGCCTTGCTGGAGCAAGTGTGTCACTGTGGGGGGCAGGCTTTGATGTCTCTTTTGCTCAAGCTTCCCTCGGTGTGACTATCACTCATGCAAGATGTAGAAGTCTCAGTTGTTTCTGCAGCACCTGGTCTGCACCACCATGTTCCCCATCATGTTGATAATGGACTGAAACTCTGAAAACTGTAAGCGAGACACCCGATTAAATGTTTTCCATATAAGAGCTGCCATGGTCATGGTGCCTCTTCACAGCAATAGAAACCCAAAAAAAGGCACCACACATGGAAGCTCATGACCATCTTGGCCTTTACTTCCCAAATCCCCTTCAGTATCCCGCCAGTCCCTTCAGAAAGGAAAGCACAAAGTAGTCATCCAGGCAGCATACCTCAGGTCTGCCAATGCTTCTGCGGACCCGAGCTCCAACCCCCTCCGACTGCTCCCGGCTGAGCACTGAGAGAGTAACCTTCTTAGATGATCCCATTTTGAAGTGTATAAAGAATGTTCTGGTGTTGAGCTGTAGAGAATAGAGGGCAAACTGAAAGACAACAAAAGAAATCACAATGGAGGAAATATCTACAGACTCTAAACTAAAGATATTAACATTAAACTTGCCCCCAAATTCTAACAGTTGTAATTTATTAAGTACTTACTATGAATAGGACATAGATTAGATGATTGTTAAAACACAGTGATGGTGAACATGTATTAGTATTTACCAGGTACCTGAGCCCCATTATTCGAAGTTTCCTCATGTAACCCTGCAGTCAACCTGTACAATAGTTAGCAATTACAACTCTTTGGAAGAACTGGATAGAAACATCTAAGGATCATCTTATATGCTTTGTTTCAGTGCCATCTCTTGACCCCTCCACACCATGCACCACTCTTCAGTGGTTATCCCATGAGTTATCATGGAAGATGGAAGTGGGGGGTTCTTTTGATGACACTGGAAGCAAAGAGAAAAAACCTAGAGGTGTTTGAATCTCACCAGAATATGATGGTGCTGGCACTGGAAGAGATCTTCAAGGGTGATTGAATTCAATTACTGATCTATCTCTAAAGTCCAAGGCCATTAAAAATCATTCCTTAGTAGTTTCAAGAATGTATACAATATGTTTTTAACCATTATCAACCCCTCATTCCCCTCCAGTTCCTTTCTGACCCCTGTCACATCTCACTCCCAGCTTCATGCTGTTTTTTCCATCACCTACATAGCCTACTGAGTCCAAGTGGTGCTGTCCTTGTTGTGCACAAGGGTGTTGAGGCATCTGCTGAAGCATGGGCATCCTAAAAGGGGCTATTTTCCTGAGGAATACTGATACTCCCTATCCCTCCCCAACTGCCCAAGTTCCTCAGTTAGGGGTGGGACTTCACAAACCCTTCTCCATGTGTGTTGGAATTTTGATAGACTTGATCTTATATAGGTCTTGTGCAGGCAATTTTTTTAGGTAAAAAAAAATCTTTGCACTTCCTAATAAAGCCCTCTGAAGCACAGACAAATTACGTATGAACTGCCCCTTGCAGGGGAAACTCATGGTTCAGGAACAACCTATATGCCACATTTATTATTCAAGAGTGTTTCATTATTTATTGAAGAAGTCTAAGTTATTACCTAGGAAATATCTCAGAACAGATACAATCAACCCCCTTTCTAACTTCAGGTGTTTGCAGACAAGTAATCCTAAATCCTCAGATCTGTTCACCAAGTGAATGCTAACCAATCCTTCAAAGATTCCTACTGCAACCAGGAGAAGTGTTTTAACAAGATTCTTGGGGCAGACACCTCAGGTTTATATCTCAGCTTTGTCACATTCCAGCCTGTTTTCACTTGGGACTTTCTGTGCCTCAGCTTTTTCATCTACAAAATGGGATTAAGAAATATCTAGCTCAGCTGGGCAGTGGCGGAAAATGCCTTTAATCCCAGCACTTAGGAGGCACAGGCAGGAGGATGTCTGTGAGTTTGAGGCCAACCTGGTCTACAGAGCAAGTTCCAGGACAGCCAAGAACAGCTAAGGCTACACAGAGAAGCCCTGTTTCCAGAAAGGAAGGAAGGAAGGGAGGGAGAGAGGTAGGGAGAGAGGGAGGGAGGAAAGAAAGAAAGAAAGAAAGAAAGAAAGAAAGAAAGAAAGAAAGAAAGAAAGAAAGAAAGAAAGAAAGAAAGAAAGAAAGGAAAGAAAAAGATCTACCTCAAAGGTTTCGAATAGTGCTATGGGAAAGTGAGCTGCTGTTATTCGTAGGGACTCTACACAGTAGTACCCTCCAGTTAGTGAAGGCAGATCCTAAAATGGATCCTCTCTAGCAGACAATCAATAAACACCTATTGGGCCATGAAATGTGGGGCACAGAAACGAACTACTGAATACAGGCCTGTCAACATCCAGATATATGCAACTAGTAAGTAGTTTTGCCTCCACCTAGATTTTCTGGGTCCTCCCAGACTCTCACAGTTAGATACTACACACATAAACAAGGATGAGGCAGTTAGCTAATTATAGTGTTTTGTCTGGAGAAAAGCCAAGCTGTGGTCCCTTTCACCAAATCTCGGTGCTATTTAAGCATCTCCCTCCCACAGCTACCCTAGGAGCCAGTAGTAGGCTTGGAAAGGAAGCATCATGAAAACTGGTTGGGGCATCTCCTGCTCCAAAACACACGCGCGCGCACACACACACACACACACACACACACACACACACACCACCCGCATCTCCTCCCCCACCAACACAAGCACAGAGAAATACACATACATCACCCTGGAGGGGGATGGGGGGAGAGCGCCCAGGCCACTCACTCTTGCGGTAGCGCAGGCCCAGGAGGGAAGCCACAGCCGGCTGGCAGAGCCTAGAGCCTCTGCAGAGTCGGGGCCTCAGCGTCAGGGACACAGGGTACAGAAGAAGGGTTTGCAGAGCGCAGGTCGTCAGTCAGCGTGACTCAGCACTTCGTTGTTGTCGGCCCGGGGGAGGCGGGAGTCTCTAGGTCTCAGGGGCCTTGGACAGGGTGACACTCCCTTTATTTACCCTAGGTTTGGATTCTCTGACTCCGCCTCTCTGGGTCTGCCTTTGAGCTTCTACCCAAGGAGTGATGTGCACCCTGGCCTCTTGAGGGCGCGCTGTCCACCCCCCATGTGAGGGATGCTCCAGGTCTCTGTGTACCCCGAGATTCACCTAGAAAACCTGTTTTCACTCCAGTCAATTTGTCACCCCACCCGTTGGCTCAACGGACAAGAATGTTTCCTAACCACTTGCCCTTTTTTGGGCATGTGACTCAGCCTCTCTGCGCATCAGGTTCCCAGTGAAGTAAGAGTGGTGAAGATGATAGTACCAACGTCGTAGGGTTGTAAAGAGAACAAAATGAGCCTGCCTCCTCCTAGGTGCTACACTGTTGTTTAGCATAAATATGCTTCTTGCTGTTTGCCAGTGAGAATGGGGCCAGGGGCGGAGCAGGAGCCAAAACATCTCTGCTCCTGCCAAAAGAGAGGGCACACTCTAATAGGTAGGCATGTGATTAAGGGCTTGGATTTTATTATGACGTAGGGAGAAGGCATTGGAGAGTTGCTCTCAAGAGGGTGAGGATGTGTATCCAGCCAGGAAGCAATCCAGTTTCCCTAGGACTTTTAATCAGGGGGCAGGCGAGACTGCCGTTCTGAATGTTCTTCAAACACCAGAAAGTTCATTGTCTTGTCCTGGAAAAAGACTCTAAAATAAATCTGGAAACTGTCTGAAAAGGAATAGAATATACACACACATACATACATACATACATACATACATACATACATACATACATACATATATATATATATATATATATATATATAGAGAGAGAGAGAGAGAGAGAGAGAGAGAGAGAGAGAGAGCATTTCGTTCGACGGATCGGATGGATGGACAGGGATGGATTTTGGCACTCGGGAGCCAAAGAATACTGGTTGTTACAGCTTGGATGGAAAGATATTCTGACACTCAGCAGCCAAGGAATACCACAGGTCAGAGTAAGCATAGCAGCTCACGACCCTACTTCAGGGAAAGGCTTCCCTAGGGTATCAGCTCTGTCCCTGCAGAAGAGGAGGGTTTCCCAGCTGGGGATATTTTCTGCAGTTTTGCTCTGCAGGAGAGTTTTGCAGGCGAAGTTGCTACAATTCAGCTCTGCTTCAGGGAGAGTGGAGAAGGGAGTTTAACAACTCAGCTCTGCCAGGGGAAGGTTGCTTTGGCAAAAGTGTTACAACCCTGCTCACTGTGCTCTGCCCAGGGTAGTCTCTGCTCTGCTGCAAAAGAAGTGGCAGAGGACAGCCAGGTAGCACAAGAAGCCACAAGCTGAATGGACACAGGGTTTATATAGGGCTTCCAGTGTGGGGATTGGTCAGATTTTAATCTCTTGCTCAGGGATTGACTATTTTTCTGCACAGGGTTAGGGTCAGATTTGGCTCTGGTTTTAGGACCAAAGTATGTTTCTTTCACTGGTCCTTTTTAGTCTTTTGGCTCTAGTTTTAGGGCCAAGGTGTATTTCTTTGGCTCTGATTCCAGGGACAAAGTATGTTTCTTTGACACTGGTTTCAGGGTCAGGGTACATTTCTTTGGTTTTGGTTGCAGGGCCAAAGTGTGTTTCTTTGGCTCTGCTCAAGGTGTGTTTCTTTGACCGGACCTTTTTACATACATACATACACACATACATACATACATACACATACACACACACACACACACACACACACACACACACACACACATCTTCCATGGAGACTGCTCCAGTTTGCTTTTGTAGCCAGAAAGCAGTCATAGACAGCACTTACTGAGTATAGCTAGGTTTCAATAAAAATTTTATTACAGATAGTAAAATTTGAATTGATAAGTTTATGTTTTGAATTCATGTACTTTTCACTTGTCATGAAATAATTCTTTTGACTTTTATATTTTTCCTGGGCTCTTCTATCAGTGGGGCTCAAACTGATGCTGCCAACCTCATGTGAAAGGCCAAATGATTAATGCCAAATTAATCCCACCATGGATCAATAAAGTATTGGTAATTGTCATCATTATAATTATTTCTGAAACTATTTCCATGTAAAATAAAAGTGTGAACACTCTGTCTGGCACATTGCAGAACCTATAAATAAATTTTCTTCCATTCCCTCGATCAACTCAACATGCAACCAGTACCTAGGCTTGGAGTGCAAGCTTCTGCCTCACACTCTTTCGGCTCAAAAGGCCAAGGATTCAGATTTCTAACATCTCATAGTGCATCCAAACCTCCCCATTTTGAAAGCCACTATCCATCTTCCCCAATCACCACCCACTCCTCCTGCCTTCAGGCCAAACCTTTTTCCAAGTGTCAGGCAAATAGAAAACCAATGTCTGAAACATTTAGTGGCTTCTCACTAAATTTAGTAGAAAGTTCTTTGATGTCTTTGAACTGACCTCATCCTTTAATCCACTTGTGCAGGGACTGGGGAGGAACTACACATATATCTCTTGTTAGTTTGCTGGGGCTGTCTAGAACTTTCTTTCCTTCGCTTTCACTTCATCTTTTAGCTCTTAACTTCTATGTCATGCTCCGCAGACAACCTTTGATAGTTGTTTCCTGGAGTCTGGGAGAGACTTTCAACCTGAAAAACACCTATATATTGTTTCCTAAAGTCATTGTGTATCAACTTTTGGAAGATCTCATTTTCCTACAAAGACCTGAACAGTAGTTTCTATCTCATAGGTTTGTTCTGAAATGTGACCCAAAACTTTACTGAATGTGCCATTTACTCCTCTTGCTCTTGGGTCTATGCAGAACCTGTGGCTGCCTTGACCAATTCAATGTGCCATTTCTGAGTGAGGCTTTGAAATGACCTGGGAGTTACCACATCTATTTCATGAAAACCAACTACTCTTTAAGAGCGATGACCTTGCTGAGTGGGGCTGGTGCATGCCTTTGATCCCAGCACTTGGGAGGCAGAGGCTGGTGGATCTCAGTGAATTGAGTCTAGCCTGGCCTACAGAGCTAGTTCCAAATAGCCAAGGCTGCACAAAGAAACACTCAAAACAAAACAAACAAAAAAAGTGATGACCTCGAGGTCACCATTTTGGAAGAAGCCCAGGTTCCATAGAAAAGAGGCCTTGGAGGCAGACACACCATGGGAAGGAACGAAGCACAGGACACAAATCACCTTGAAGGTGGGTCTCCCAGCCCCAGCTGCACCAGCCAGTGCCACATGGACACAATTTGAACACCCAACATTGTTCTTCCAACTTCCTGATCCACAAAGTCAAGAGTTTTCAAGCTGAACAGTTGCAAGGGTAGTTTGTTTTACAATAATAGGTACCTGGAAAAATGTTTTCAGGTCATAGGAGAAAAGAAATTGATTTTCAAAATTCTCCAGGGTAGTGACAAACCTTGCAGAAGGTAGCTATGTCCATTTAATTCATCATGAAGACAACCAGCCATTAAGGGAGACAAACAATGCTTAAACTGGAATTTAAAGAGTAAAGTTTTGCATCCCTCCTACTAGCCATAATCCATGGCTCCAAAGTACAGATGTGCCAAGGGAAAGGCTCCTCGGTTACAAATATCATTTAATGATACAATAACTTCAGGTAGAACAGTGATATTTCAGTGGACACCTTTTTTTGGAAATTTCTCTGGAATTCAGAATCTACTCCACTTCTGCATCCAGAGAAGGTAGTGACATTTCTCAAAGCAGAAGACAAATTCAGGAGCATATATAGTCACAGCAGAGCACAGAAATTCCATTTGTAGATCTTTCAGGAAGAGGGGGAGGGAGAGATTGAGAAAGGGAGAGAGAAAGGGAGGGAGGGAGACCTTCGGAAAAGCTAGGTTAGAAGGGAAAAACAAAGATGGAAAGGGGAGAATTTTTGCAAATGGAGTAGAAGCCATACAATGCTTCACAATGAACAGAGTTCACCTTAGAGGTGAGAAGTGTAACCATGTCCATTTTAACTCTGAGCCTTCTTCACCTGGTCATTTGAAATCAAATGAGGATGTGGAGCAGGCAGCTGGATATGTGACAACCAACCTTTGGAATCTTGAGCAACATAGAAGAAAACTTTATGCTGATACGGCAAAGAGCAAAGCATCCCTAAATAACTCCAAATACACTATTATAATCTTTAAAGACACCAATATTATCAGCACATGTTCATTCATATCTCCCCCCCTCACTTTGTTTTGGCTTTGTAACAGGATTATATGACCTCAAACTCACTATGCAGCCAAGGATGACTTTGAATTCTGACCCACCTGCCTCTACCTCCTGAGTGTTGGGTTCACAGGCTTATAACAGCATGCCTGATTGATGCAGTTCTCAGGATCAAGCTCTAGGCTTTGTATATCCTAGACAAGCACTCTCCCAAATAAGCTACAGCCCCAGCCCAACCTTTCATCTTTTGTTCAACATACTGACTTCCATCTTTATAACACTAAAATATCTTTCCAATGGTATTATTTCATACAAGTGTATGGTCATCTTAAACACTCCATCATTTGCAGTCATTTTTCTGTTTTAAGATATAAATGCAAATGCTCCTGCTTGTGGATTTGGTAAATTGCTTTCCAGGGCAACAAAGCTTCTATTCATTAAAGGACCAGTATTTCTGGAATATTCCATATTAGAAATTCAGTCATTAACCCAGAAAATAGTTGGCTTTAAGTCAAGAACTAATTATTTCACATGCACCAGTGTATGGAGGCCAGCACTTTGTTGGGAAGTTCAAGACATTCATTTATATCCAGAGAAGGTGGTACATAAGGCTTCCACCTCCGCCTAGCTGAGAACAACTTTAACAGATATGGCAAGCTCTGACCCAGAAGCTGCATTGGTGTTCCTCCCTGCCTTCTCTCTGGGGTTCTGGCAAAAATGTCAGAAAAAGAAACTTAGGACCCTCTCTTTGGAGCCACAGAACATTCCTAGACTCCACCACAGGCAAAACACTGTAGGCCCTGAAAGGCTAATTCATCTCTGAACTAGAAAAGCAGGGAAATGGAGGTGACTGATTCCCCTGATACTTACTTTAATTACCCTGATAACCTTTCTCAGCTTTCAACTTTTGTAAACTTGTGTCTTCTGACCAAAAGAGGACATCTTTGTGAACCACAGATTTAATTGAAGGTCAAAT